AAATAACCTAGCGTTCCCCCCCTCCCCCCTGCTGGCTTGATTGAAGACTTCTGTTTCATTTACCTAAATTATTTATATATATACAATTTTTTTGTTTTTAGTAAAGAATATATAGTATTTGTTAAGCCTCCTAAACTCTCTCTTCAGGCCTTTAGTTTTCTTTCGTGTTATCCTGGCCTCTCTGTTCTATGAGTGGGTGTTTGTTACCCGCGCCAAGCTCAGGAGTGCTTTTGCTCTGAAAGGGAGACTTCAAATAATAAATTATCGATCTCCTTGACCCGTAAGACTTCCTTTTTATAATCCGTCAAGGACGGAGATACGGATGATTACAGAGGCACCTCAGTGATTGGAGTTCAGCTTTAATGAAGAAGTAATCACAATCGGCGCCGTCGGGTTCTCGGTAAACATCGGTCTTTATACTGTGTGTATTGTAGGCAGGTTTGTACTCTGGGCTGGAAAACTGCTTTTTGAGCCATCGTTTTTTCTTCTCCTGTGACAGAATTCATAACCTACGGGGGAGCCAGATCCCCCCTCCTAGATAAAATCTTGCTTGCGTAAACCACTTACGACTAATTGGATTCAGACTGTGAGGTGAGTATTTTTTACTTTTTTTTTGTCCTCCTCGTTCTTTCTGGTGGAAGGCTACCAATGAAATCATGCAGTTTCTTCTTTCTAACGGAACACGGTCTTCTGCTGCAAAGCGGGTCACTTCCACCCCTCTACTTATCGATTTGGTTTGACGTGTTCCCTGACAATCTGTGTCTGAGATGAAGCGCTTTCTTCCTCCTGACCTCATTCTGGGCATCTCTAGTCGCTGTTTAAGATGCGAGAAAATTGTGTTTGATCTATAAAGAAAGATGCAGAAGCTAATTGACCATCCAACCATCAATTTTGATGAAGGTGCAGGAAGTGTTTACGATATCTCAGGTTTAAATGCAGCTTCACACTTTTAAAAGTTTGGTTTATTTTCCTTCAGAGATCATGCCATCATCCTTCCGGTTCATCCCTCGTTATCACTTCAGTCTCTTCAGTCATCTGCCACACTCCTCCAAATAGATGCTCAAGTAGACCAGAGCTCAGGAAGTGCAGATTTGCTACGTTTGCAATATTCTGATCCATGTATCCTTTTTTGTTTTATTCCTCCTGAAAAAAGGTGTGCTGCCAGTGCCTAGACCATGCTCATGGCACCTTTTTAAGGGCCGGTGCACACCTAGGTCGACACCTCACCGCATGGCAATCGTGCACGATTCCGCGCGGTCAGGAGTCGCCTAGGTGTGCACCGATCACGGTGAGGGTGCCATTATTTTCTAATGGCACCCCAGTCGCATCTCGCGGTTTTCCGCTGCAATTCCCCCCCCCATGTTTTCAAACCCGATCGCAGCTAAAACAGCTGCGTGTAGTGTATCGCAAAAAAAGTACATGCACCTTTTTTCTTGCGATTGCGCGTGGATGTCACCCCATTGAAATCAATGGGGCCGCAAGGCAATCGCTGCCTTCATTGTGCAGGACCGCGCGATCCCAGATCACGGAGGTCTGCACTGGGCCTCAAAAGTATGCAAAATCTCAAGGGACCCCAATCTACAATGCAAAAAAAACAACAAAGTCAGAATCACACCCTTATCTTAGATAAATGGATATAAAGATATAAAAAGACAAAGTGGAGTTTTCCCCTTTACATCAGAGTGGCCCTTTCACATTTGAAGCCCTCAGTTTACATCAAGAAGCCCCTTTCATATCAGAGTCCTCCCCCTTTAGCAAAAATGTAAAGGCACCCCTGACAAAGCCAGAAGGCACACCAGGGTGCCACAGATGCTTTAAACCGGTATATCTGCAGTGTGAGATCATCTAAGTGAGATTTGGTGATGCCCCTACTGGGCCGCTCACTGTCTTGCTTGCTGAAGAGGGGAAGCTGTACCTGAGGTTTGAAGCCACCGTACCACCTCTGCTCTCTGAAAACAAGTGAACATTGCCAACGTAGCGATGCACACCCTTCACCTTCCTCTATCACAGGGGTATCCAAACTCCGGCCCTCCCAGCTGTGGTGAAACTACAAATCCCATGATGCATCTCTCTCCAGGAGTTGTGGCTGTGAGAATCTTGCAATGCCTCATGGGATTTTTAGTACCACCACAGCTGGGGGGTCGGAGTTTGGCTACCCCTGATTTCTATGAGGTTACAAGAAAGCAGGAGAGGTGGGAAAATCATTGTTTCCCCCCCAAATGAATGGGAACCAGTGGAAACAGGCATATCCTTGTACTGCAGGTCCTCAGGTACAGCTTCCTCTCTACCAAGGAGAACAATGAACAGCACAGCAGTGACCTCACCAAATCTCACTCTGAATCTTGTGAGACTTACAGTCAGAGGTAGCAGCAGAGGCGGCTATAGAGTTTGCGAGGCCTTAGGCAAAACCTAAACATGAGGCCCCACTCAGGCCTGTGGGGTCTTACCAGGGCTCTGTGGGGTTTAATCAGGCTGGTGAGACCCTGCAGAGCCCTGGTGAAACCACACAGAGCCCTGGTGAGACCCCACAGAGCCCTGAATAAATTAGGGCTCTGTAGGGTTTTACCAGGGCTCTGTGTGGTTTCACCAGTCTGGTTAGACCCCTCAGTGCCCTGGTGAGACCCCAAAGAGCCCTGGTTAAACTAGGGCCTTGTGGGCGTCTCAGCAGGGCTCTGTGGGGGTCTCACCAGCCTGGTTAGACCCCTTCAGCGCCCTGGTGAGACCCCACAGACCAGTGATCTGTGGGGTCTCACCAGGGCTCTGAGAGGTCGTCACCAGGGTAGCAAGGTTCTGTGGGGTCTCACCAGGGTAGCAGGGTTCTGTGGGGTCTCACCAGCCTGGTTAGACCCCTTCAGGGCCCTGGTGAGACACCACAGACCAGGGATCTATGCGGTCTCACCACGGCTCCGAGGGGTCCTCACCAGGGTAGCAGGGTTCTGTGGGGTCTCACCTGGGTAGCAGGGTTCTGTGGGGTCTCACCAGGGCTCTGAGGGGTCCTCACCAGGGTAGCAGGGTTCTGTGGGGTCTCACCAGGGCTCTGAGGGGGCCTCACCAGGGTA